GGGGGCAGAAAAGAGAGTCCTTCATGAGTCAGACAGGCTGGGTACTGTGCCAGGGTTCCCCAGGAACACAGAGCTGACACGTAGCAGGTCACTTGGAGGGGAAAATCATGTTAGAGAGAAGAGGCATCCTGATTTTTCCTTTTCAGATTAAATAGCATTTAGTGCCAAGTCATTCTAAAAGGTAAAAGATTGCTCTTCTTTAGTAGCAGCCAGCATCCCAATGGGAATGAATGTTACTGGAAGTCAGGAAATAATCCTGCTGGGATAGCTGAATTCTAACAAGGGACTCATGTCAGCCCCATCCACCAGACCAGTGGTGACAGATGTCTGACAGCCTTCTGGGATTCTAACAAAGAGAAAGCAAGAGGGGAAAAGTTCCTGGAGGAAAAATTGGCTTGCGACAATACTGGAACATTTTAAAATAATATGCTCATCACAGTGTTCTAAGGGAATGAAACAATCCAGTTCCTTCTGCTAAGCTTCAAATCATGGTAAACCAAACTGTTCCAAGGTGCAGTTCCAAGGCATAACTGGGAGTGGGGGAAGCAAGGCAAGTGGAACAGAGTTGCCTGACAGTCTGCTTGGATTTTCTCCAACAAGAGTAAGGGGAAAGGAGTTCCTGAAGAACATATTGGCTTGGCTCAGTACCAGAACAAATTTAAAACACTGTGGGTGCATCTACACAAGACATTTACTGTGGAGTAGACTAATTAGCTCTGCAGTAAACATCTCCCAAACTACACATGCAGGGCTGTTAGGCTGAAGTAAACTAATCAACTCTGAAGCAGGGTAGTACTTGTAAATACAAGTCCAGCCAGCCCCTCCACAGCCTAACAGGAACAGAACAGAAACCCAACATTTGGAAGACAAAGACCCTACAAAAACCAGCAACCCCACCATTGTGTCCTACCAGACAATTAGGACACTCGGATCTACACATAAGTATCTGAGCAGGACTGTCCTTGCCTGGACATGTCCCTCCCATAGGAGACGTAGGTAGGGACACCCCCTCTGTCTGGAGCAGCACTGCATCATGCCACCCATCTACCCAGAGGCCCTGCCAGCGACCCCCTCTGGACAACACCCTGACTGGCCAGCAAGGATCAGCTCACAGCCCAAGATAGGTAAATATCACCCACTTCCCCCCCCCCCCAAGAAAAGGCCTCTGACCTTCGTTTGGTCTCTCTCTCCCCCTCTCTCCGTGTCATCTTGGCTCTGGCCATCTCTGCCACCTACAAAACCCCAGCTCTGCTCTCCTCTAAACCGCATCTTTCTCTCCCCTGCCCCCTCAGCACCTCCCAGACCTCCCTCCATTTCCTGGCTTTCCCCATCTCTGCCCCGATCTTCCGCTTTCTCCCCCAACCTTCTCTGTGACTCTGCTCTGTTCCTGGCTTTGCCGTCTCTGCCCCAACGCCTCCATTGCTTCTCCCTGCTGGCTCCCCCCTGGCATTCCCCACAGCCTCCCGGCCCCATCTCCTGCTCCTGATGCTCCCCGCAGGCACCCCACACAGCCTCCGAGCCCCATCTCCCACTCCTGCGACTTTTCCTGGTGGGGCCACCTCTCCCCAGCACCCACACCTCCTTCCTGGCATCGGCAGCTCCCCCCAGCACCCACAGCTCCCCTCAGCATCCCCTGCAGCTTCCCGGCCCTGTCTCCCACTCCTGCCACTTCCCAGCCCCAGCCTTCCCCGGCCCCAGCTTTCTCTGCCCATAGCCTCTCTGCAGCCTCCTGACCCCTGGACAGTTCCCCGACCTGGCCCCCAGCATCCACAGTCTCCCAGCTTACCTTGCTCCACCGGCTTTGCTGCCAGCTTCTCCAGTCTCGGCTCTGCCGCTTTTCCTCACTGCGGCCCCGGCTTTCTCCCTTGCCTCTTCCCGGGGCCTCAATTAACCTCAAGCCCCTCAATTAACCTCAAGCCCCATTGACCCTGAGTAACCCCAGGGCATATCAACCTCAAGTAACCCCAGGGCCCCAAGTGACCCAAAAGGCACCTCGACCTCAAGTAACCCTGAGCACCAAGTTACCCCAGACACCCCCAGTGTTCACACACAGCCACAGCAGAGTGCGTGTGCAATTTTGTATCACACCCTCCTGTCTAACAGCGTAACTGGGATCCCAAGTGTTGATCTGGCACATGTCAAGTTAACAAAACCAAAGTAAACTAATTAATTGCTGTAGGATAATACTGCCCAACACAAGTAGTGTCCTACCACAGTTATTTACTCTGCTGCAAATCAGGTGTAGACAGCGACAAGAGCTGGCTGGGGCAGGAGAGTGCTATAATGCAGAGGCTGCCTGCTGGCTAGCCCCCATGCTGAAACATGCCCCAACCCCTCTGCAGCATACTGAATGGGAACAGCTCCAGGCTAGGAGGCTGACCACCCTGTACAAGCCCCCTGCCAGCTGGGGCTGCACCAGCCCTGCTCAATATGCTGTGGTCCCAGGTGCTTATATAAACACTACACCTGGAAGCAGTAAACTCTGGCACAAACTGCATCCAGTTTATTGTTTCACCCTAATTTCACATGTAGATGCACCCAGTGTAACCTGCCATGCAACATAGGGAGACCAATTTACAGCTGACTCAAGTACGACAAACAGTCCAGCCTAGTACAATTTACCTTGTTAGCAAAGATAACTCAATTAAACTGGCACAGACTGAAATCAGTTTCAATTTGCAGTGTAGACACACCCTAATTGTCTTCAGACAGACACTGTAGAGCACTGCTTCCCAAAAACTTTCCTCGGCACAACCTCAATTATGGCCCCATTTCCTCAGCATGGTCGCTCACTCCCAACCCACAGCTCCCCACCCCCATTATCCCAGCCGCTGATGTTGCGACCCTATTTGTTTGGGAACAGCTGCTGTAGAGCTTTAGCTCACATTCCTGATTAACATGGCCAAAGTTGTTTCTGCTCAGAAGAGCACTATTAGAAAATAAGCATCTGTGCAGCAATGTTAAATCATCTTTATTAGAAAGCTAACTAAAGTCAGTAATTTACTGGTGTACATAAAAGACTGTGGACCACACAGGAATGTTTGTCAGCTATAAACTTAGAGCCAGGCTTATTCTCATGAAGCTTTTAAAAGTTAAATTATAAATAGCATAAAACAGTACAACTTTTACTGTGGGAAGTGTTTTATATAAAGGATAAACGTATATAAATTCTCTTACAACTGGAATGCAAGATTGCCCAATACACACGGTTCAAATTATGGGGGAGCTCTGGTGGACTGAGCCCTCCCTTAAGAGACAAGAGCCCACCTCATAAAATTTGAAAATCATAAGCCGGGGGGGGGGGGGGGGGGAAAAAGGGGGGGGGGGGGGGGGGGGGGGGCGGCTCTGATTTTATTAGGGCATTGTGATGGGCAGCCCAATTTTTTTCAGATCCCCAAAAGTGAAAATATCGTTTGAGCCCTGCTAATATACTACATCCCTGTTCATAATGCATGGGAACTAACCTGTTTTGTACATTAGAAACAATACAAGGAAGACGTGGCCAACCTGGGAATACAGTCTAGAAACAATGACTGCAGCCCCTAATGCAATATTTCCTAAATGGTCCCTGCCCATAGGACCATGAAGAGACCTCTAGCCAGGGCACAGATGTGTAGCACACATTGAGAAAGTGATGTCTTTAATACTACACAGGGGAACTGAAAAGAGGGTGTGGGCTGAGCCCCACCTTCAGGAAATTGAAACCAGATTTCAAATGCTTGGAAAATGATGCTTTAATAAAGGGCAATATTAGGAAGTATCCTCAGCTTTCTGTCCAGCAATCAACAGAGTATAGTGCTCTCCACCTGCAGTAACCTACCAATAATTATACAGGCAGGTCCAAGGCAGTGGAGGAAAAAAAAAAAAGCTAGCTAAACGCAGGTTTTACCACAATATAAGTGTGGAAAGGGTAGATGAGGAGCCATCTTCTTTCTATGGTTCAACTCAAGAGGCTCCTCACACCTGACTGTTCCAAAAAGTACAAATGGGGGAAAAGCATGAAGAAGTGATTGTTAATCAATCAAGAAGTTACAGTAGTGAGATTTGTGAATTTTTTGCTCCTCCCAGATCTTATGCCACTAGTTGCCAGCCTAACAGCATGAATACTCCTGGACCTCTTTGTAGAAATTTATACAATTCAAAGAAGAGACATGTGAATATTTGATTTTATATTCAGTGATTTAAAAAACCACACCACACCACACCCCCTCCCCCAGTTCAGGTTGAAGTGAAAAAACAAAAAACAGCTTATCATTTGGAATCAACCCAAAACTGAATCCTGTTTTTCAGCAAGTTTGAATATTCATCAAAACATTTCATTATTATTTGCTGAATGAATTTCACTAGGTCCTTTCACAAGTCCTCTTTCAAGTTAATTCTTTGGTGATATATTTAACAAGGGCCATAAGAAATTATGGTGAAATACATTTATTTCTGTTTTCTCCCAATTTCTAGGAACTCTTTTAGGTTTGATTGTGCTAGTAAAGTGATTAAAAACTTAAAAAGTGCCATAACAGAGCATGCTCTGTAACTGACTACTCTTTCATATTCCTCACTGCTGCCACAGACACTTTCTTATATACAGAACAAATCTCAGAGGAAGACAGACATCAGTAGCATTTCTGAATTCTCTAAAATTGCATCTAAATGCATCACATCAAGGAATCCTTACAGTTATCATTTATTGCACTTTTTATTGAGGAATGCACTAACTTTACTTCCAACTGCTGCATCATTTTGTGTGTATGAAAAAGGAAATATATTTATTGCCAGAAACCAACATACAATCAAATCTTGTTGCAATCTTGTCTTTTCCCCCCCCACACCATTACATAAAGTCAACTTTATGGAGTTACTACTACTTTCTCTACAGCTTAGAGCCAAGCTGCAGGCACA